GGCAGAGAGGCAAAGTGGTCAAGTCTAGAGGTAGATAAGTAGAGAAAGACCAGTGGGCCTCACCTGGAGAACCTGCACCTCCACCCACCAGGATAACCTTTGTCATTATTATGCAGAGAGAACAATTTAGCTCTTTGTCCATTGCAGAATAAAATCTTGACTATTTTGCATAACCAAAAGGCTCATTAAAATGTTTTTCTCGAAACAAAAGATCAATCTGTCATCTATGGTAAATTCTGCCTCCACTTTAGAAGTAGAACAGCTGCCGGAAGGTTTAGAATAGCCATTTATCCTCACCTACAATCAAAAGTTTCAGAATGTTGGGGTTCGCTTTGGTAGTGCCAGTCAAAAATTTTAATGTGCATATAACTTGACCCTGCAGTTTCACTTCTAGGAATTTATGCTATAGAGATTCTCATGCAAGTATTCGATGCAGCACTGATTGTGGTATTAAGAATTGTCAACAATTTAAATGTGCATCAATTGGGATATAATCGAATTCTAGTCTAAAGAAAAAAGTTAAAGATTTTAAACAATCATGTGCTAACTTTTGTAATATAAAGAATGTATAAACTCATCTACTTTCTTTGCAGGCACATGCAGCTGTGGCTTCTTTTCTTTCCTGTGGAATTTGCAGTTATGTTGCCAAATTTTATTTTTTTAAGAGACAGAGTCACTCTACCACCCAGGCTGGAGTGCAGTGGTATGGTCATAGCTCACTGCAGCCTAACCCTAAGCCTAACCTTACCCTGGGTTCAAAGGATCCTCCTGCCTCAGCCTCCCACGTAGCTGGAACTACAGGCTTGCACCACCATGACTAGCTAATTTTTTAAAAAAGAGATAGGGTTTTGTTATGTTGCCCAGACTGAGGTGCACTGGCATGATCATGGCTCACTGTAGCCTCAAACTCCTGGGCTCAAACTATCCTGCCAAGCCTCCTGAGTAGCTAGGACTACAAGCATGAGCCACTGTGCCTGGCGGAATTTTATTTTTGAGAACTTTTCAACTCTTTTGCCCTGCCTTCCTTTTTAAATACACTGTAGGATCTTTTTCTTATCTTTTCTCTGTATTTACAAAGCAAAATTCAATTCTGTAAGTCAAGACCAGTAGTTTCAAACTTGATCACCCTGATGCTTATTAAAATGCAGGTTCCTGGGCTCCTGCTTATTAGGTTCTCTCACTGTATCTGAGGTGGGGTCTAAAATCCTGATCATTTAGAGGCACCCCAGGTGGTTAGTGAGAAACTCCCCCCCTCCAATAACTGATTGACTTCTGATTGTGCCCCCTCCCACTTGTTTCTCTCTTTATGATTAGCAGCTGGCAAAAGGGAGCCAGGGAGCAGAGGATGAGTCACGGTAGATGTTTGTGGGTCACAAATGGTTGAATTAATTTAAATGGGAAAAAGTGAAGGAGCAGATTAGTAGACATGCCGTTTTATTTACTTATTTGTTTATTTAAAGCAGGGTTTATTGAGAGGACAAAAAAGCTCCCACAGTAGGAGGGGATCCGAGGGGGTTACCCGACATGATGCTTTAATTAATAAGTGTTGCTTCTTTGAAGTGGGCCTTCTGGGTTAGAGGCTGGTCTGGTGGGCTTCCCTAGGCAATAACTTTAGCCTAGCAGATGCCCTCCAGTGATGGCTATGTTAGGAGTGGAAGGGAAGGAGGGACCTTGTTGAATTGTGAAGTCTTAGAATTCGTATGCTTTTTAAGTGAAGCTTTTGTCCTGGGAAAATAATACTTCTAATATTAAGATGAGGTACCTGAAACCCATGGATTCTTTGGCCCTCATTTCTAAAATGAATTTTAGAGCAGCCAGCAAAGTTTTCAAGCAAAGTTTATTAGAGTAAGAAGGGAGAAAAGAAAGTGATATGTGATGGCTGTCATGGGTGAAAGAAACTTCTCCTTTGCTCTTTACAATAAACCCCATATACCTTCACAACAATTGATATGCTAAAGAAGGTGGAGCCTAGACACCCACTCTGGAGATCGACATCTCTGGACTCCTGATGGGAGGAGAGAAGGGGAGGGCTGGTCTTTTCTTGACATTGTCTTTTTCTGGAAACCTGGCAGACATTTCCAATTCACAAGTTCCTTAGCAGAAAGGTGGTCTTATTATCATTTATATGGCGTTGGTCAGTTAAGGGGTGGTTTTTGTCTTTCCACATTCAACAGGGAACCTGAAAGATTCTTAGAGATTATTATGCTAAACCATGAATTGAAAGGTTGGGCTGTCCTAGTCTTGCATCTGATGGAGTTGTTTTTTTTTAATTTGCAGAGGGGGGTAGGGCAGGCTGCCAGCTTGGCCTGCAGTAAAATGTAATTTTTTAAAATGTCTGAATGCTTACTAAAACCTGCCTATGGAAAATTTATCTATCAATGTCTAACCTGTGCTAGCTACCTTGCTAAAACAATACTAAGTTTTTTTTAAACAGTTTTTTTGTTAGAATCATTTTTTTCTTTGTTGTATACAAAGTCTGTTAACCAGCTGTCCATTGTGGGTTATTAACATCTCAAAAGGGTGCTTTAAAAATATAAATCCCAATTGCTTCCAACAATTAACCTTAGGAACAAAAGTAAATGGCGATGCTTCTTAACTATCTTTCCAAAGCTCTCAGTGAAACTGGCAGCCATCAGTTAAATAAACCATTAGGTTTATTAGGCTGAGAACAGAAGTGTTGACTTGGACACAGTTTTCTAATTTGCTCCTCATTTACCCAACAATCATTTATTTAACGACTACTCTGTGCCTTAGTGGACTCTACAAATAGAAGCTGGAGACTGATGGCTGCTGGAACTCTAAGGAGATCATCTGGATGGGAAAAAAAAAACGTGAAATCTTAGTAGCATATGTAAAAACAAAAAGTGGATTCCTTAAAGTAATAGCTTTGCTCTCTTTCTGTAGTCTATTTTAAGTGGGTCCTCTGGCCCAGAATTATCAGCCTTGGATTAGGAGCTTTGAGGAAATGTTGGTTTGGTGGTTGTTTTTGAAAGGATTTTTTTTTTAAAGAAATGTAGTTACTAAGCAACTGCCATTACCTGCTGCTAAGTTGGAGTTCAGCAGGCAGGTCAATTCCAAAGAAGGAAACATATAAACAGGTTTTAAGAGGGGGAAAGAACGGCTTAAAGACAGATTGGGTGTTTGTTTGTTTTGGATTCAATGCATAGTTGCCTTTTACTTATCTTCCCTAAGAAAGAGCTGTCCGATCAGAAATCTCTTTGTCTCACATGGCTCTGCCTTGAGTCAGTGAACTCAGAGGAGGGGAACAAATGAGAAATTATCCCTTCCCAGTGTAGAGGGCTGAGCCCTGGAGTGGGACCAGTGCCCAGCGATCTCTAGAGGTGGACCGGCCTGCTGCTTTGCTCTTGGGCAGACCAGGGCTTCTATGAGAAATCTATCACTACTCCTCTACCTTTAGATTGAAACGCTTCATTGATACTGAGTGTTGCTAGGTAACCTTCAGAACTGGGACATTGTCCAGTAGTTGTCTCTCTCCCCCTCCCCCATCATTAATGGGTGAGTCAGTGACTTAACTGCTTCCTCCAGGATTTCAGGGATGTGAGTAGGTAATGAGGACAAATCACCATAACACCAGCGCGTGATGAATGAAAAAGCACATGAATTTAATCGGGTTGCTTTCATTGATATTACAGCGAACAAAAAGAAACTTGGTTCAAAAGAGGCTACTTGCATGACTTAGAACTCCATTCCCTCCCATTTAGGTTTTTAGTATTTCCTCTTATACCCATCTGAAGGTCAGATTGCTTTGCTTAGGGAAGGGGGAATGTCAGGTGTTGGAACAGGTGTTTTGTTTTCTCCTGTAGAGCCCTACAGAGTAGGTGGGGATGCTTCTTGCCAGCTATCCATGGTGCATGAAAATGCTTTTGTGGAATTTTCCCCTGGAAGTGTGTTTATTTTTTAAAGCAGTTCCCCAACCTTCAACCCCTAGTATAAATTTTGACACCCTTTAAAATCAGATTGTCAAAGTGAAGTATGCCTGTTTTCCACAATTTCCACAGCCTGTGCCTTAGATATACCCTATTTTAGCAGCAATTATAGACTTGAAAAATGTGTGTGCGTGCGCGCCTGCATGGTAAATATGAATACTGTATTTTAAATGTATTATAAGCATGGCACAGCAAAGCAGCCTATAAAAAGCCTTTTATAATAATTGTATGGCTAGAGTTAATTCTTCTATGTCATGTTTTCTTAAATTGGGCATAAACCTATAGTTACATTTCCAAAGTGATAAATCTGTTTCAGGCTCTTGTGATGGTCTCAGTGGGCTACAAGACTGGGCATGGACTTTTGACCTCACTGACTAGATGATTACGGAGGTGTCCACAACTTTCTAGGTTTAGGAGAATTTATGTTTTGGTATTTAATTGTTACTAAAGCCAAAGGGGCTCTTTGTTGAAAGAGAAATAACTCAAGAGAACGTTAATTCTTCTCATATGGTTGTGAGGTTTGTTTTTACCTCTGCACTGACTTCCAATATCCCTCCAACCCACTGCAAAAAAGTCATCCCGAAAAAATTGTACTCCTTGCCTAACAAAGATGATGGCCTCAGGTCCTTTCCAGCCCCTCCACTCTGTCTCAGGGCCATCTGTTCTCTGCAATCCGCTTTTTGGGAAAGTCTCCTTTCCCATCTGCTCTCCTTGGGCCTTAGTGTCAGCTCTAAGATTTATAAAGGTTGTACTGGAACCTCTTTCCAGTTGTTATTTTTTTAAGGATCAGTGAGATTTTGAAGCAGATAAGAGCTTTTTCCATTTGACATGCCCAAATGCTACTCCCTTTTCAGGTGCATTCTTTCTGAAGATGGAGGGAAGTCTGTCTTTCTGTACTTGGAGGAGGAACTTAGCTTATCAAAGCAAAGATTAAGTGGGTTGGTTCTGGCTGCTTTGAAGCCAGCTGTCCTGGCTGTTTGGTGGCTGACTTGCAGGCTCGGGGGAGCTCCTTGGGTTCATTTTCCTGTCTTTTCCCTTGTCTCCTTGACACAGAGTACAGTCGCTTTGAATCGAAGATACATGACTTGAGAGAACAAATGATGAACAGCAGTATGAGCTCTGGGTCTGGGTCCCTTCGAACAAGTGAGAAGAGGTCTTTGTACGTCAGGTAAGTTGCCCTTTTGAGCACCAGGCCTTGTGCCGGGTGAGAGGAGGGAGCTCTGTGCCAACCTAGCCCTTCTTGTTTAACTAGTGGAGTAGGGAGTGTATACTCCCAGTACTAAAATAACACTTCTCACTGTATTAACAGTGGGGTAGGGAGTGTATACTCCCAGTACTAAAATAACACTTCTCACAGGTTGTATATTTTATGGTCAGTATCTCCTCCCTTTTGTGAGTTGACTTCTTCCTTTTTGCTAATGAATGACTCAGTACAGGAAAATTTCAGATTGCTCTAATTGTAAAAGACTGTTGGGTGATTGTTGCTAGTCAGCACTCAAATAGCAGTCAAATGTTCAAAGTACTTTGCTAGCAATCTGTGCTTTGAAGGGAAAACTTGCCACCCCCATCCCTTCTACATATGCGTAATAGACAATCAGGATTTGTATCTGAGCATATCAACTAGCATAGTGTTCTGGTACAGGGTCTCTTTCAAGAGACCAAAGAACTGACAGGTTGCTGCATTCTGGATGTTTCATTGTGTTTCCATACCCCCTCACCACCCTCTGCACTGGTCTGCTATGTCTATGAATCATGGGATGGGATGGTGTATGTTCCCTAGGAAGAGGGAGTGGAGGGAACAGATATATAGCAGTGAGTGTATTGCAGCTGAAAGCTATTCTGAGATATTTCCAAAGTTGAGCTTCTGACCCTTGAGACATAGTATAATACTTGGTCAGGTAAAAGTACGAACCTCCTGGGGAATTGGACTGCCAAATGAACACTATGGATAATTCCCTTCCTCCTGCCTTGGCTTCCTGGCAAAACTCCCAACAGTCTGGTGCAAGTACATTGTATTTCTCCAAGGTTAAAATCCTTAGGTAGTGGGGATTACTCTCCTGAGCCAGAAGTCACTAAGGTGTGTGTTTAGTGCTTAGGTGTGGGATTGTATCAAACTCTTGGGTTGAACTTTTTCTAGTGTCCTCTGATACCTGCTAGGGGTGGGGAGGCTACATTTGCTAGTTGCCTGGCAAAGTGAGTACTGCTCTGTCCTTGGGGTGTAAGCTAACTGATGTCAATGCTAATTGCAGTTCTTCTTGTGTCTGCTTTTCTTTTTCTCCAGTTGGTAGTCTCTGACTCTACTATAGGGAGCAGAGCCGAGGGAACCCGTCTCTGAGTCTGAAGCCTATTAGACCACTTCATGTTCTTTACTTTTTAGAGATGTGATCTCATTCTGTTGCCCAGGCCGGGGTGTAGTGGCATGATCATAGCTCACTGTAACCCCAAACTCCTGGACTCAAGCAGTCTCCCTCCTCTGCCTCCCAAGTAGCTGGGACCACGGGCATGTGCCACCATACCCGGCTAAATTTTATTTTATTTTTTGTAGACTAGGCCTTGCTATGTTGTCCAGACTGGTCTTGAACTCCTGGCCTCAAGTGACCTTTCTGCCTCAGCCTCCCAAAGTGTTGGGATTATAGGCTGAGCCACCACACCCACACCCAGCCCATGGTCTTTTCTAAAGTGAGTCCTCAACTCTACTCCTTGTGTGTTGAGCATTTGCTGTACTCACCTCCTACTGTGAAGGGAGAATGGTAGGAAGCCTGGACTAGTCACTGGCTATCTTTCCAGTCTCCCAGAAAAGAAAGTCCTTCTTTTCTGTCACTAAAGCCCTTGTTCTGGGTCTGCAGCCTAAACACTGGGGCACTGATGGTGGGAGTCAGAAACATGCTGTCGCCCCCCCCCCCCAATGGGTAATGCTTATGTGACTTGGTCAGGATTGTTCCGTTCCTATGCTTCCAGCCCCCTCAGATGTGGCACTCCAGTGTGCGTGGGAAGCTTCTCTTTAGGCAAGACAGTTTCTTTGGAGAGCTTTATTTTTAGATTTCCCCTCTCTGCCTATCCTGTGCTAGAGTTCTCTCTGCCTGGGCAGGGGGAGTGAGGCTCCCAATCTTGGAACACCCTTCACTGACCCAGGCAAGTGATACTTACATTCAGCCTAACTCTGGGAAGGAGAACGGAGACCACAACTCTCTGGTGAATCAGTTTATATAATCTGCCCTTAACCTTGTCTAGATGACATCTGTATCCTCTGAGGAAAGTAGATTATGGTTTAGAAAATAGTGACCATTTGTGATCACTAGATTTAATCAAGGAAAATAATATCTACGGCTAAAGCAGTGAGCTGAGTTTCTTTGCTAAGCTATTCCCTTTATTGGAACCTGGCTTGCTCTCTTACCTTTCCTGTTTTGGGCCTTTCACTCTACATGTCGTTCCTTTTCTTCAATATGTAAACATTTAAGCTTCTTCCATTCTTAAAAAGAAAAAAATTCCCTTGATGCCAATAGTCCCTTAAACTACTATCTTTCTTCTTTTGCTGACTGCATTTGCCAGGTTATTCACTAGGAAACACAAGTTCCTCAAGATGTTAATAAGTTTTGTGTGAAAAATTGATAGTTCAGTAAGTTGGGTAAATGCAGCTCGAGCAGGGTTCTTTCCTGTAATTAATTTCCAGGAGGGACTATACTAGGCAGTGTTACTAAAAGATATGAGCATGGGAGCCTTTTTTGGAGAAACCTATCTTAACATCCAGATTGGGCAATCTTGGAGTTGTCTATTGATTTTTTTTTTTTTTTTTTTTTTGAGTTGGAGTCTCACTCTGTCACCCAGACTGGAGTGCAGTGGCTGCTCCCGGCCACCACAGCCTCAGCCTGCTGTGGGCTCCGGTGATCCTTCCACCTCAGCCTTCCAAGTAGCTCGAACCACAGGCGCGCGCTACTATACCCGGCTAATTTTTGATTTATTGTAGAGATGAGGTCTCACCAAGTTGCCCAGACGGGTCTTGAACCCACTGGCTCAGGCAATCCGCTCACCTCAGCCTCCCAAAGCGCTGGGATTACAGGCTGAGCCACCGAGCCTGGCTGGAGTTGTCTATTGTTACTTGACTGAAAGGAAACATACGTCTGCTTTTCTGTGTGGTGGTATGGTTCTGTGCAGCTCTGGAAGGCTCCAGAAAAGCAGAAGTCTGATTTTGTCAGGGATCAGCAAGTGACCTCTTAGTCTTCAAATTCAGCAACTGGTTCACTGGTTCTCTGACATTGCTTTGACCTCTTCACCACATTTGTTTCCATGAATTACCTGTTTGCTTCTTTAAAGGCTGTCTTCGTATCTTGCTGACTATTCCTCAATACCTTTCATTAGCTTTGCCTCCTAGGTGGCAATGTCATTTATTTTCATAACTTCAAATCCTGTCCTGTCATTGTATAAATGACATTCCTGATCTTTTTACTGAACTCCAGACCTGCATATCAATGACTTGCTGGACGTGCGTAAATAAAGCTGCCCTCCCAGTGCCTCAAACAAGCAGCATGTACTTTCCTTATCTAAGTTAATTGCCTCACCCTATCATGTGGAAAGGGATTAGATTGTTCTGTCACCCAAAGCAGATCTCTGCTCAACCTGAGGAAGGAAGAGCTAATGATTAAAACTGTTTGAAAATGGAATGAACTGCTTCCGGATATAGTAAATTTGTTCTTTTGTCACTTGAGATGTTACAGAAGAGGCTGGGTAACTGTTTGCCTGAGTGTTGCAGAGGGGGTCGAATCTAAAGTAATAATCTAGGCATAATCTACTCAGTTTTCACTACTTCCCCAGTGTCTTCAGGATAAAGGGGAACAAGTATTTAGGGAACACCTACTATATGTCAGGACCTTTGTTATTCTCTTTAAATTACTTTTAAAACCCTTTTAATAATACTACAAAGTAGGCATTATGAGTCCCATTTTGGAGTTGAAAAAACAGACTCTAGTTAGCTAAGAAGTGCCAAAACTGGACTTTGAACCTGGTTGCTCTGATTATAAAAAGTGGTTTGTTTCAGTGTTTCCCCAGCTTGCTGATAGGAATCAGTTGGAATGCTAGTAAAAAATAAAGATTCCAGCTAAGTGCAATGGCTCATGCCTATAATCCCAACACTTTGGGTGGCCAAGGTGAGAGGATGGCTTGATGTGAGGAGTTCGAGACCAGCCTGGGCAACACAGTGAGACTCCTCCCATCTCTACAAATACTACTAATAATGATGATGGACAGGTGCAGTGGCTCACACCTATAATCCCAGCACTTTGACAAGCTGAAGTGAGAGAATTGCCTGAGCTCATGGTATGAGACCAGCCTGGGCAACTTGGCAAGACCTCATATCTACAATAAATAAAAAAATTGGCCAGGCATGGTGGCGCATGCCTGCAGTTCCAGCTACTTGGAAGGCTGAGGTGGAAGGATCAACTGAGTTCAGTAGGTCAAGGCTGCAGTGGCCATCAGCCTGCCACTGCACTCCAGCCTAGACGACAGAGTGAGACTCTGACTAAAAAAAAAAAAAAATGATAGTAATAATAAGCAAGGTGTGTCGACAAATGCCTGTAGTCCTAGCTACTCCGGTGATAGCTTGAGCCCAGGAATTAGAGGTTATAATGAGTTGTGATCATGTCACTGTACTCCAACCTGGGTAACAGAGAGAGACCCTGTCTCTACAAATAAATAAATAAAAATGCAGATCTCCAGGCTTCTAGCAATTTAGATTCACCTGGTTTGGGGAATTGTATGTTTTTAACAAGCAATCAGAACACTCAGGAATGACTGCTTGTGTGTCACAATAGACATTTGTTTCTGTATCACTGGAACAACTAAACAGTACACTTATTTTAGCTCCTGCTGTGTGGAAAGCAGTAAAGCACAAGGCTAAGAATTTGGGCACAGTTGCAGAGGTAGATTAAAGGAAGCAGCAGGTGTGGTTCCTGCCCTCCAGCAGCTTGTCATCTCCCCAGAAGAGATTGAGCAACAGGTAGTTAAAGTGAAGGAACCCTTTTCAGTTTGGATTTCACCTCTGATTCTTTTTGCTGTTGTTTCCCCTTCTGATATGTTTCTCCTCCTTTGCCTTTCCCTGAGTATCTTTCCCCCTCTGGTGTACATGGGTTTGCAAAGCTATTTTGAAGTAAATAACACTCTCTTAGAGCTGCACAG